AAATTGAAGTCAAAATCTGGTTGGTGGTGCAATAACCATCTTGAAAAATATTAGTCAATGGGAAGGATTATCCCATACATTATGGAAAATAAAACATGTTCCAAACCACCAACCAGATATTTGTTCCAGATCCCAAAGTGATGCAACAGACGGTGTCCTAAGTTCCTTGAAAACAAATTATCATACATACCCTCTGGAAATCACACATGGCAATGACAAATCCCATGGAAGAAACTGTATGTGTGTATATATATATATATACATTGCCAATCTTAGATACCTGGTTAAAACATCTAATTTTTAGCTGGCAAAAGTGGATATGCCCATTGAAATCGCAAAAAAATAAAGGATTTGGCAACTACCCATGCAAAGTTGACCGGTACAATATACATCATACACAAGACAATAAGACAATTCATATCCTTTCCACATGGATAATTTTTCATTACTTTATAATGTTCCTGTTAAACATGGATCATTTCCCGAATGAAACCACCGCGGCCTCCTGTGCTGCTTTGAGTTCCCGCTCCACCTGAGGGCCATCCATCCATGTGTTGGAGACGATTGAAATCCAACATCTGTGGTTGTTGGTTGGTGGTTAATATATGGTTAATATATGGTTAATATATGGTTAATATATGGTTAATATATGGTTAATATATGGTTAATATATGGTCAATGATGGTTAATATATGGTTATTATATGGTTAATGATGGTTAATAATAATCTGCTTGGTGGTATACCTACCCCTCTGAAAAATGATGGAGTTCGTCAGTTGGGGTTACTATTCCCAATTTATGGAAAAATAATCCAAATGTTCCAAACCACCAACCAGGTTGGTTCAACTAATTCTCATCCAATTCTGATCGGAACTCTCAGAATTGCAATCCCTCTTGTTGCACCGAACAAATCTTGACTTTTTTTCAAGGATAAAGGGATCATCGACGGGAATCCAACACACAAAAAAAACGAAAAAAGTTGTCTATCATTATTTTTGTCGGACATCTGTCTATTTTTTTGGAGGTTGCTATAAATTTTGCCTCAAAAAAAGTTCCGATATAGACATCTTCTGGATCGCCGGCAGATCGCACCATGACATTCCGGGATTCGGGCCCTATTCGGGCCCTGTTTGATGTCCACAGAAATGGTTCATATCGAAAGTTCTGTACATAAACACCCCAACTGAAACCACATAAAAAACATAAATGTACATATCGTTCACCTCAAACAAACACCCCAACTCAATGATTTCGGATATATCTTTTTCACAAACATTTACATGGGGGGATGATGATGCCAACATGGCCAGAAAACGTCAATGGCCAGTGAAGTAACCCATGAAGGAATATCAACCATCACAAGGTTTACCCAACTACACCCACAAAATTAGAAGAAAGGAAACCCAATTTGACTGCTGAAATCAGGGACCCACATGGGCTTACAACATTACTTTGTCTTTTTCAATGATGGTTAAAACCATCAAACAACTCATGGCGAAATCATAACCAAGTTGGCTATATCAGCATACAAGTGTATTTTTAAGCAACAAGGCCAACTAAACTTTATATGGTGTATAAGATCAAACTAACTAATCAGTATGGCTGGTTCTATGCACTATGAACCAAGGGCTTTGAACAGAACCTTGCAACAAAAATCGGTCTCGTCACCCCATGGTTAGAAACATCCTGCGCCTCCAATCGCTTCTGCAAGAGCTGTTGCTCCTGAATGGATGTTGACTTACTGGTGCTAAACGCAGGGAATTTTTGGGAATGATCCACTGGCTCACTAGTAATAATCATCCCAGCAACCCCCAGCAACCCCCAGCAATCCATCCATTCCCTACTAAGAATCATGGGATGTTGAGCTTCTACAATAAATCCCCGGCCAAACAATGTTTGGATTTTGGGCAACAAACATGAGGAGTTTAGCAATTTAAAGAACATGATTCCAGCCAAAAGAAACAAGAAAACACATGTTTGCAATATCTTGTAGCCAGCAAAAAAAACATGCTTTTAGCCAAACCGAACCCTGGAATGATGCTATATACTGTATATATATGTACATATGGGAAATCATCCCCATGGCTGGCTTTGTTTCAGGTTAGTGGAACTATTGTAAATTACCCAGATTAGTTAATCAGTGATTGCCCGTTCTGATGACCATGACCAGAGGTATACTCAATTGTATACACCTCCACAGATTTTTGGGTGGTGGTATTGAATGTTACAGCTACCCCAAGGATAGAAGGGCAAAATCCTATTGAGCCATTAAAGATTTATGAGCTGGATTTCATACTAACTGGATTATTGGTGATGATTACAACCCCAAAAAAATAAAAATATATATTTACTTACCAACCAGTATTTCAGAAGATGGGACAGGGATATTCTTCAAGGTACAACGGTCATGGTCAACATGGGCTCGACAAAGTATTTGTTGTTGGCCAAGAAGATAGTTTGTGTTGCCCAAAAACATGTTGTCAGGTCGCCATAATCTATCCGAGGGGATCGAGGGGATCCAGCTCGTGGGTGAAGCCGACAACATTCCGGGAATCAAAACTGTTGGGATGTTGTGGATATCTAGGGCTCACCCCCAACAAGGAATGGATTCAAATAGCGGTGTTTGTTTTTTTTTCTGGTTATGACTCATCAATTGACTAGGTTTTCTCCCGCAAATGAACCCAACATTTGCAACAGTCTGATCAAATTAGACGAAGACTTGAGCCTTTTTTTCCTATGCGCAAAATCATCCCAGGCGGGGTCTAGATAGCTAAGTTGATTTTTTTTTCACTAGCTTCACGATGTTTTTTTCAGTTTACAGTCAATGCTTTGAGTCAACTATTCACTTGACTTATGAGAATTGACTATTCTGAAATAAATTACTCTTGATTTTCACTTTCACTAGTTTAGAGTCAATATGAAGGAGGTTAATAGCAAATAGTATATAAGTTGGTTGACCCACCTGTAACCAATAGTTAATTAAGGTTACTATGATTTTCCACTAGTTTACATTAATAAATTTTCACTAGTTTCATAGTGGTTATTAATTTTCACTATTCACTAGTTTACAGTCAATATTGACTCTACTCTTTTTCAGCTTTACAAACTTTTAATTGAGCAGTGTTCAAAATCCCTCTATCATTCCATGAAATACTGCTTGGTTAAGAACGGGATTCCCCGTTCTTGGATGAATTATAATCCCCAAATATATTGGGTAGTATAATCCCCAACTACTCAACCAACCAGGGTTTTGAACACTGCTGGAGCTTTCCCTCCGTTGGGGGGCCGTTTTTCCCCAGTCACACCTCGAGGTCGTGCCGGTCGTGCCTGGAGCGCCACGATGTTCAGCGACATTTTTTGGGGATTTTTTCTTTCACTGGATTGGTTTAAGGGAAAATTTACAGGAAACCATGGTTTTTACCATCAAATATAGGGCTTTCCTGTAAATTTTCCCATAATCCAATTCTATGATTCTTGGATGAACCAAGCAAAAATTGGGATTTATAGCTAGAGTAACCCAAAATGTGGATTTCTAGTTTGATAAAGATGGATTTTTCTGCTAATTTCATTAAGGTGCAAATAACTCTGATTTCACGAGTTTTTTTTCTTTTTTTTTAAGTAAATATATGTTCTGCAATAATATTGTATATTATTATATATGTATATATATATATCGATACTTGATGGTTGGTTGATAGGTATCCCGTGCATGATGGGTTATGTGAATCCCCAAGAAACCAGGTAATAGCCAACACCCCTATGATAATAGCCACCCAACAAGGGTGTTTTTAATGCCTCAGGTAGACACTTTGCCGCTTTACACATGGGATATCGGCATTGACGATGTTTGTTCAGACGAATTTCATCAATGGTGCAATTTCTTCTTGGAGGATCCTCCCACGAATCGTACGTGGTTAATAAGCTTAGTTAGTAGCCTCCGGTCATTTAATATAGCCATTGAAAATGGTAATTTATAGTTGATTTACCCTCTGGTAAACTAACATAGCTATTGAAAATGGCCATTTATAGTGGATTTTCCCATAAAAAATGGTGATTTTCCATAGCTATGTTAAATTACTAGTTGATTTACCTATAAAAATTGCTGATTTTCCAGTTCGCGATCCTAGTTTCCCAGAGCCGTGGAGTCTCCCTCGGGTGAAAAAAACGCCCGTCACTTAGAGATGATCCTCAAATGATGTCCAGACAGGGATCGTTTTATCATCCATGAAGATCCTCACTTCTGTATTAAAAATGTGTATTTATAATCAATGGCAATTTCAGGAACCAATTTATTGGAGGTACCTACCATATATATAAGGCCTATTTTTTAGGCCTATGTAAGGGAATATCCCCACAACATATGGCCTTATATGGTACAGTACCTCCATTCTAGGATCCTGAAAATGCCATTGAATTTATAATACCCTGTGGCAAGCTAACACAACTATGGAAATCACCATTTTTTTTGGGTAATTCAACGAAGTAAATGGCAATTTTCAATAGCTATGTTAGTTTACCAGAGGGTAGATCCTATAAATAATTTTCAAATCCTTGGTGGTCCCTGAAGATGTTCACTACGATAGGGAAATCCTTCCATTGAAACATGTGTGATTATAAACCAGAACCAAATGGTCGTTTCGCTACAGTGAAGAAGCCATACATAACAATTTCATGGTTGTTTAGGGAAACCACCATGTATTTATGGTTGCTACATTGTTTCGGGTTCCAAAATGACAAATGTTATCTGTAGCAGTGTATTCCCCAGGTATCCAGCTTTTCTGGGAACCAAGGGTGATTCCCAGATCTCTTGGATGTGCATTCCAGTTGGCAAGCGGCTTATAACGATATTATATAAAACCCACTAAATATAGGATATACATTGGATATACCCCAGTTATACATGGGTTATACATGGGTTATTAGCCACTTACTTAAAAAAAGGGATACACCCCCAAGCACTCAATGTACTCCGAAATCATCCTGGGGCTAGGTATGAGCCCCTTCTAGGATCATCCGCCCTTCATGGCTGGTTGGTGGTTTTTCGTCGCCCCTCTGAAAAATACCAGGCCTGGGAAACGTTTACATAACTGATGGGAAAATCAAAAATTTTAATGAGAAAACTTACTATAAATGGCCATTTTCAATAGCTGTGTTAAATTACCAAAGGGTATGAGTTCGTCAGTTGGGATGACAAAATTCCCAACTGAATGGAACAATATTTAAAAACATGTTCCAAATCACCAACCAGATGGGATAATTTACCAATCAGGGACTTGCTAACTAGGGTTAGAAAAACCACTTACGATTCGTGGGATGAGCCAGGTTTTAACAACGAAATCGTTGGTAAAAACTGGAACTTCATGCCACCAGCCCGTCTGAATGGAATTAATTAACCTACTCCAAAACCACAAACAACCAGAAATGGATGGTGTTCTTTCCAAAGAAGTCTTGACTACCATCATGAAACAACCTTTCAATTTTGTTGATTATACCCTTCAGTACATCAACATGCATACTGGAAAATTCATGAGCAATTTACCTTTTCGTAGATAGTTAGTTTCCCTAGAAATCAGCAAAACAAACCTGGATGTTCCACATCTGGGTTGGATTTGCCCAGAGTATCATTGGTTCATTGTTGATGGTCCACCAAGTCCGTCGGCACTTGCTCCATCTTTTTGGCACCAGCATGAAACACCATGCGATCGCGGGTGCTGCATAGGTTTTGTCTCAAAATGGGATGCCCCCGGATCTAGCGGGTTTATCATTGTTTTCGGCATTAAATTGGCTAATCATTTGCAAAAACTTTCGCAAAAATCAACACATCTTATGGATATATCATATATATCCTGTACGGATCAAGTTATAAAGCTAAATTACAGGTCTATCATTTTTGGATATTTTTGGGGTCTATAAACTTAAACAGGCAGTGGGACACCCATCTGGACAAACCAGTCGTTGCCACGTTGCCCAAGAAAGGCCTGCTGGGAATGAACATGGGTCATTTCCTGCAGTTGCATAGATCTCATGAGGACATTGGCTCATGAAACGCATGAAATTTCTTCAACACCTCTGTATAGAAAATTTTCCTCGTCTATGCGACAAGGTGATAATTATCCGACAGAGAATTTGAACACAGCTCAAAAGCTGGCATGTGACAAGTGGGTCATCAGCAAGTCAAAAGATTTGACCGACCCTGAAAATCCAATGATATCAAGTGAGTCACTTTAGTTTCAGATTCAGCAGTGATAATCCAGCAATTCACCAAAAAGAAACAAAACAAATCGGGTGTGGATTGTCAGGGCTCATTGTTTCAGGCCAAACGCCTAAAATCGACGCAGAGTTTGTCAGTCGCGCGGGGCCAACTTGGAGATCCATCGAGGAAACCACGTCGACGTCGACTGAGAGGAGTCGCCACCAAAGTCCTGAATGCGTTTCCTCGCAATCAACTGTTCCAGGACATATTGACGCTCCTGCGAGACGCGCGTTCTATGCAGGCCGCTAAAAGAAAAGTGAGGGGTAATACCTGCCATTTTGGGGAGGAACATAAAGTCTGAACATAGGAAAACTTACACAGCGTTACGTCGCATTGCAGAGCCTTACGTTGTGTTATGGTGCATTACACTACAGTATAGAATGTGTTCTATTAAATCTCTTTGCATTGATTATACTACATCAAATTACTTTACACCAATTATATTACGTTGGATTACATTACATCACATTACATCGCATTACGTCACATCGCATGACATTACATGAGATGACATCACATTACATCGCATTATATACAATAGATAGGATAGTATAGGACAGGATTGGATTGGATTGGGCTGGGAAGGAAGGGATCGGATAGGACAAGATAGGATAGTACAGCATACATAGACAAACAGACATATGGACATACAGCAAGACACATGTATAATTGTATAGATACGAAGAGTAATCAGAAAAACACAATGAAAGATTCACACATACATAGGTACATAGGTGCATCAATACATTGATACATTAATCTTATGGATACATAGAATCACATAGATAACTAATACTTGGTTAGATAGATGCATTGCTTTACTACATTACTTTACATTACATCATATTACATGAGGGACATTACCTGACATTACGTGACGTTACATTATATACTTTATGTATTGCATTGCATTACCTTGCATTGCATTAATTACTCTGTGCTACATTCCATTACGTTAGATCATATTAATTCATTAAATGACAATGCATTACACTGCCTCAGGCTACATCACATTACATTGCATTCCAGTCAGTTTATACATGAATACATCAGTACATTGACGCATTGATACTTTGTAACATCATTGCATTTTATAGTTAAACCACATTAGGTTAGATTAGATTAGATCAGATTAGATTATATTTTATTGTGTTACACTACATACCCATACATACCGTACATGCCGTGCATTCCACACATACCATTGCATGCATTCCATACATACCATACACATACATCACATTAAATTACATTCCATTACATGACATTACATTGCATGACATGACATTACCATTGTATTGCAGCTATTACATTACATTGCACAAGAACATACATAATTACAACATATGCACAACATACCTGACATACATGGCATACATGGCATACCTGACATACATGGCATACATGGCATACATGGCATACATACATACATACATACATACTTACTTACTTGCTTGCTTGCTTGCTTACTTACTTACACACATACAAACATACAGACATACAAACATACAAACATACACGACACTACACTACCCGACATGACGCGACACGACGCATCATGAAATTACAAAACATGAAACTACATTACATTACATTCATACGTACATACGCACATACCTTACATACTTACATACTTACATAATTACTTTCACATACTTATATGCTCTCATGTACAGACATACATTACATTACATTACGTTGCGTTACATTGCATTGCATTACATTAAGTGACATTACATTACATTACACACATATATATATATCATACATTAGAACATATTACATGACATTACACCGCATTGCATTTATCGCATTGGAGTACATCACATTACATTGGATGACATTAAATGACATTACATTATGTGCAGTATACACATCATATACACATTGGCATACAAAGACGTTGATACGAACATATATGATCATATATGATATATATATAGTATATACATATAATCATATGTGTATATTATATTTCAAACGACAGCAAAAAAACATCCAGAAACCAAACGCGACACCTGACCATGGTCTGACCAATGCGGCCCTGCAAATGTCCTGGAGTTCGTTGAGGGTTTCACGCAAGAGCCTCTGAGATTTTTCGTGATTAAGGCGGTTCGGTGTGCGAGGAATGTTCACCTCCTTGCCTGTCCACGACAGGTAGGAGTCCCGGTATCCCACCTGGACAGCTGGACAGCATGACGCGACAACTCGCAAGTCAACGCGCAAGTTGTGAGGAGTTGATGTGAGACATGGCAGGGTTATATCAGAATCATCATAGCCTGTTTTTTCTTTCTTAATCACCATATCAGACAATACAATGCCCCACTAAAAACTGTCATCCACCACAACGCTGAATTGGGTATGGCTCGAACTCTGTTGAGGTCATGGAGGGTCATCTTGCTTTGTAATTCCATCCTCCTAATATCAAACATTCCATTACTGGTCCGAAACACATGTAAATCCCCTACTAAACCATGCTTGGGGCTGTTTCACAGGAGGATCGAGATTCTGGATTCTGATCATCCATTTTGGGTACCCAAAATGTACACAAGGATGGGGTGTAATCCTATGAAATTTACCAGGAGATGTTCGCCAAAACATGGTGATGATGCTTGTCTGCCATGTTGGACATCGCGACATTGCCATTGCATGCCGCATTTATTGATTCAACATGGCCAGTCTTACCCCCTGCAGTTCTCATTGCCATGGCTGGAAAATTCCTCGAACTAAATGGGCATTGAAATGGGACTTTCCATTGCCATAGGGACTTTCCATTCCCATTTTTCCATTTTTGATCACAATTAAAGGGTAAACCCAAACAAAGACCATTTGGGATAAATCTAGTCATTTTCAATCCAACGCATTTCTGGTGCCAGTAAGTCATCGGGATTGTTTATTACGTTCATGTTGGGTTTGCCACAGCACCCAATTTCTGAAAAAAAACAAATCAGGTCAACCTGTTGTTAACTGTCAACTCTTGCAGCTCCGACAATTCAGTCGGTTTCCAGCAATGAGGATGGCTGATGGGAAATAATCCATCCCAGCAAACTGTAAACTTGCGGACAATGCCAAGGGATGGGAAATGAACATTGTATTTAAAAAGCCTCACTACAGTGATTGGTAAATGGAGGTAATTATCCCTAAACTTGAGGAGTCTGGTCATGATCTGAATTGATATGGAGGATTGTTGGAGATGAAAGTCTGTGATTCTGTGATGTTCCAATATGTTCCAATTGGGCATGGATCACCACATGTTCCAAAATCGCATCTTAAGTTCTTAGCTATTCAGCTATTCATCAACCAAGATTGTTGATCTTCTCCATACTCTGGTTGATCCCTTTGAATCCCCATCTGGTGCCTGGTGCTAGGCTGTTCTTTTCCACACAATGATGGCTGGTTGGTGGCTTGAACCCCTCTGAAAAATATGAGTTCGTCAGTTGGGATGATTATTCCCAATATATGGAAACATAAGAAATGTTCCAAACCACCAACCAGATGGTGTCTCTATGAAACAAACACACACACACACACTGCTGACCCCGGATTTTGAGCACCCGTTCACAACCAGCAAAGTTTCCCATATGAGTTGAGACAGATTTATGACGCCCTATACGTCCTACTAAATCCCAATGGACAAATGCTTCCACAGGGTGTCAATTTCAAACATTTTCCCTGGAAAAGGTGCCTTTTGATGCCTATTGAAGGGACCGCATTCAACCAGTTCAACCCCAAAGAAAAGCGAAAGAC